GTGACAATAAAGTAATAATACAAAGATCAATATATTATATACTAGAAAAATAAACATGTGAATCTCAGAATAAGAATTTGATGCTATTTTCTTTATTCGTATCTATACCAAACGTGGGATCCAACTTGATTTTTTAATTGTGTTTTTTTAAAGTCAGTTAGTTATACACACTCTCTCTCTCTCTCTCTCTGTGTATAATATGCTAATCCCTTTAGGCTTCAACTAAGGAAACAAATCAGAGTGTACATGTATTCTGAATTACATTCATGTTATAATATTGGTTTTTCAAAAGAAAAATATACACATTTTGATAACTCTAGGTTATATTTTCAATTATACTCATCCCATGATTAACAGGATTTGAATGCATGAATTCAGCATTAAATCTAGAATTTACTAAAATATTTTATAATACACAAAATAAATTTAAATTTATAACACCTAACATAAAGAAACGTTACTGCTTGCAAATCAATTTCTGGGCATAATTCAAAGGCTGGTTTTCACTGACTAGACTGCAGTTTTCCATAAAAACCACCCTGTTTTATGCTAATTGGCATAGGCCTTCTTTCTGATCTGCCAACCGAAACTAAGATGTTGGACTGGGAGCACAAGGTTCCAGCTTCTAGTTTATTACTGGCCATGGAAAGTCACTGGGACACTCTGGGCCACTTATTGTCTATCAGTCTAACTTATTTTTCAAACTGTTGCTGTTGTGGTGGGAAAAATTCAGGAGAGAACACTATGTGCATTGCCTTAAGCTCTTATTTACAAAAGGTAGGATATAAATCAAATAATAAATAAACGCAGTAGAAACCTGGCAAGAAGGATGTCTTCTCAGCTACCCTTGTCAGAAAAGTACATCTAGTTTCCTTGTTAAAGATGTTCCAGTCACTGGTTAGCAAAGTATTTTAATTTCAACACATGCTAGTTCATACTTGCTACATCCATTTTAAATGTACAATATATTTAACAGAATCTTTTACTGATGTCTCTACTCTGGTTTTACGCTTTTAACTTTGTAAAACACCATTAAGTTAAAGGCAGGATACAAAGGTCACACACAAATACTTCCTCTGACTGAGCATCTTTTCCTTGGGCTTGAAATGAGATTCAAGTCTCGAAGGATTACAGATGGATAAAACGGCTATTCCACATGAAGAATTCATAGAGCATTCTGGATTGCTTGTACTACTAGGACAATACATTTAGCTTCTCAGAAATAATTAGCTATGCCCAGCAACCAGTTGGTAATGGCTGTCACAGGAAAGGCAAAAATACGTTTGCTGTCACAGGAGGGAAGGGAATTCACAGAAGGGAATAATACTTTCATAGAAAGCATTATTATAAACCGTGTCATTCTGGAAGTATTTAAAAACAGAAATGTTGCAGGATTTAAGATAGGAAAAAGATGAGAAGTTCAATTACCAAATGCTCATGGCCCTTTTAGGTCCTAGAGATTTAAACAGGTTTCACCTTTTTGCCTAACTTGTGTATATAGATACGAAATGATACAAAATGT